CATCTGACGTTTGTCTCTCGCATTCGGATACGTTCGACGAGTGCAATGGAGACAAAGGCTGCCTTTGTCTCCACTGCACTCGTCGAATTTGTTAGAACCCGGAACGCCCGCGTCTGACGTTTGTCTCTCGCATTCGGATACGTTCGACGAGTGCAATGGAGACAAAGGCTGCCTTTGTCTCCACTGCACTCGTCGAATTTGTTAGAACCCGGAACGCCGGCATCTGACGTTTGTCTCTCGCATTCGGATACGTTCGACGAGTGCAATGGAGACAAAGGCTGCCTTTGTCTCCACTGCACTTGTCGAATTTGTTAGAACCCGGAACGCCGGCATCTGACGTTTTTCTCTCGCATTCGGATACGTTCGACGAGTGCAATGGAGACAAAGGCTGCCTTTGTCTCGACTGCACTCGTCGAATTTGTTAGAACCCGGAACGCCCGCGTCTGACGTTTGTCTCTCGCATTCGGATACGTTCGACGAGTGCAATGGAGACAAAGGCTGCCTTTGTTTCCACTGCACTTGTCGAATTTGTTAGAACCCGGAACGCCGGCATCTGACGTTTTTCTCTCGCATTCGAATGCGTTCGACGAGTGCAGTGGAAACAGAGGCTACCTTTGTCTCCACTGCACTCGTCGAATTTGTTAGAACCCGGTACGCCGGTGTCTGACCGTTTGGCTCTCGTATTCAAATGCGTTTGAGGAGTACAGTGGAGAGAAAGGCTGCCTTTTTCTCCACTGCACTCGTAGAATGCGTTAGAACCCTGAATGCCGGCATCCGGCTTTTCGCTCTCGCATTCGGTTTCGTTCGAGGAGTGGAAGTATGAGCTCGGGTAATGGACCTTTTTCGAGAAGCGTTCTGCGCACGCGCGAGCGCCCGATACCAAGCCGCGGAAGTCGGCACGAAAAATCTAGGAAATTCGGAAAGAGGCTGTGGATCAGCGAGTAGAACACGTAATTGCAGCATATATATAATTGTGTTACGCAAAAAAAGAAAGTAAATGGAAATAAAAATTACACCATCTTCCCTAGGGGAACCATGGGGTGATGCGGAGCATCGCGAACCGCCGCTGCTTCACGTTGTCGTAGTTCAGCATCCGCCGCTCGACGTTGACGAATGGACGCCGCTTCTCGTTGCCGTAGTTTAGGGTCTGCCGCTCGCTTCAAGCGTTTGCGCTCAGCGTCGCGTGCCCTTCGCTGCGCAGCTTTGTCTTCAGTGGACGTAGCGTTGCTGTTAGTTTGTGGGGTGGTGGTGACGCTTGCTTGCGCCAACCACTAACTGACGGGACTGTTGCTTCCATCACAGTTCATCGGAAGAACGGAGTGAAGTGGAGTCAACAGCGGTGAACTGAACGCGAGCAGCGCGCTACCGCTGCTTATATTCACACTTGAAGGAGAGGAGACTAGAGGAGGAGAGTTGCGCATGCGTAGTGTGAGTGCGGACTACGACGCCGATGCCGCCGGACATAGACCCGAGCAAGAGATGCTCCGCATCTAAAACACGACGTTTGAGTGGACTCCATGGATGCCACCTTTAAAGTCACGTTGGGCACGCGCCCCATCTCAGAGAGCGAAGAAACCGCTAGCGTAGCTTCCCTTGTCGATTGGTAGCGCAGGTAGGTCACTTCCTCGATTTTTAGTTCGTGCAGCCACCACCTGGTTCCGTCGGTATGTGGAAAAGGAGCATTGTATAAGCCAACCATCTCGGTTTTTCGATAGTGAAATGAAGAGGTTTCTGGGTGTGTAGATGAGTGGATTTGGTTGTTTACCGTGACGTTCTGCGAATGTAGGTGTCACTGTCATTTCGGCCGATAGTCTATTACGGCCGAGCGTGTATTACGGCTGAGAGAGACGGGTGTGAGGCCGTAGGACATAACGACCGAGAACTCCAAAAGGCCGATTGTCTCTGAATGGGCTGGTGTTGCGGCCCCCTCGGGGGTTAATTGCTTTGTGGTACTGCTTCCATTTAAATGCCCAATACCTTCTCTCGGAATGCGTACAAGAGGTCGTTAGTGGAGTGGTTTATATCTTCTGACGTTGTTTGGGTGTGCCCGTCTTGGGCGGGCAAATTATTATAGTAATAATGTCATATATCCTGGAAACATTTACATCTAGGTCTCTCAGCTCCGTATCAGAGAAGTGCCAAAGAGGAGCAGGCCAAGGTAGGCGGCAAGCAACGACGCCAAAAGCAGCCGCAAGGCGAACCTGGCGCGACAGTGGAGCTGCATGAGCGCCGCAGCAGGAATGGGAGCGGCAGCCATGTTCAACCAACAGCACCAGTTCGCAGACAAGGTCAACGCCTTCGATGATGGAGTGTCCTGGCTGCTGGGACTAAACAGCTAGGCAAAAAAGAGCTTGGCGGCCAGGATTTTTTTTACACATGGTCATATGTTTTTAATATTTCTTAGCCTGATGCATGAGTTTTCTTCACCGTGTCACTTTAAAAAGATTGAAAATTTTTTTTTTTTAAACCAACCCCTCTTATTGTTTTTTTAGCGAGAGGGTAGAGTTAGAGAAATAATAATTTAGTCGATGTGCTGAAAATTTAAAAGATGCACTATATTTTCTACTGAGCTCTTAAAATGTCGATTATTAGAATGTAGAAATGTTATACCAAAAAGCGCCCTGAAGGAACTACTGATCAAATGAATAAGCAATGATGAAGCGCAGAAAAGCAAATAAATAAATGAGAAATTTGGCTAAGCAACGCCGGCGTACCGACTGGTGCCGGCCGTGGAAGGTGAAACTAAGCCAAATCCGCAGTATTTGCCAGTTACTGACAGATAAACTCTTAAATTTGCCGATTCGTCTACTTTCCAGCAAAATACTCGGAGCGCCAATCATTGCGATCTGCGAAGAGACCTCGGCGATTGACGAGACTGGCAATATGTTAAGCTTTAAAATGAAGTCTGAGTTTTGGCAATGAGAATGACGTTTCAATCATCGTGCTCAATCTTGCGCCATCCATCTTACTTTGTGGCAACTAAAGTCATCTACCACAACGCGACCCCCGAGAAGGCGGCCGCACCAGTCCATTCCAAGACTATCGGCCTTCACGCAGTTCTCGGCCCTTACGCCCTACTCGGCCTCAGAGCCACTCCCGGCACTTCCGCCCATCTCGGGCCTTATACACTTTCGGCCGTAATGCGACAATTGTCCTTAGGGGGATGCTCTCGTTGACGGCTGTATAAGAGCGAATTTGTGAAATAAACCAGTAGCGCAGTCTGAGACCTTCTGTGAAGCGTCTGTTTTGTTTATCGTCCCTTGTCTCGGGTTTATAATGGAAAATTGCTCGCTCTATAAAGTTTATCATGGCTTCCACCTTCTCAACTGTTGGGTGCAGGCCATTTTTGCCGATTTCGTACCCCAGATACCTTGTTTTTGTCTGCAACTGTTCGCAACGGACCTTTTCCACATATTGACGGCACCAGGCGGTGGCTGCACGAACTAAAAATCGAGGAAGTGACCTACCTGCGCTACCAATCGGTAATGGGGGCCCTTACACTACCAGTTTCTTCTCTTTCTGAGCAGCTGCGCATGCCCAACGAAACTTTAAAGAGGGGAATCCGTGGCGTCCATCCAAACGCTGTGTTTTCCTTTCCGTTGACTTTCTTTTTTTGTGTAACACAATTATATATATGCTGCAGTTACGTGCTCTACTCGCTGATATACAGCCTCCTTCCGAATTTCCTCTATTTTTCGTTCCGATTTCCGCCGCTTGGCATCGGCGCTCGCACGTGCGCAGAACGCTTCTTGGAAAAGGTCCATTCTCAGCGTTGGCCCCCTTATCTTTGTTTGCATGAGAACTTCCTTCACTTTGTCATAACACTGCTTGTAGTTCTCTCCTGCAATGATTACGTGATCTAAGTAGTAGGCAGTTCCCGGCATACCGTGCAGGATTTGACCCATCTGTATTGTCTGGAAGCTCGATGATGATTTAACCGCGAGAAACCGGAGAGCAGTGGTTTTAAATAGTTAGAGCTATCTACGTGAATGAATCTGTTCATTATATTATAAGGGTTGTTTCATTTGGAATCGAACACGCGTGTTGTGGTGAGTATTTTGACAAGCCTCAAAAATTCCCGCAAGAAAACAACATATTTTTAAGTCTTTAAAAAAATTCTTTAGCCACAAAAATTAAATTAAACAAGGTGAAATACTATGTTTAGGCTCTTTGATTGTGCACCCAGTTTTGTCGGTTGTCATAAAAAAGTAAAAATGAAAACACGCAGTCATTTTTTTCTTTGCAAATATAGGATGCATGGCTCATTTTTTCTTTTAAAGTAAACTGCTTTGGCGTATTTTACGACAAAAATAAAAATGCCGAACATCGCCATCGCCTCTTTGACGTTTTGGTGATATATTTGTTGCCTCGTATCTTAGGAATCATACATTTTGTTTTTAGATACTGTATGCCTAAAGGCTTACGTATGTTATATTCACTGGTACTAGCTTAGTTTTCTTTACTTTCGCGGAAAATTATTATACATTTTTAAATTCTATCTAAAAGAGCATTTATTCATAATTAAAACCCGCGTTATTAAGAAACGCCATTTTTAATTTCTCGCTCATTATTTGTATTGTTCCCAATAATGATAACATTTTGGCTGCATAATCAAAGTTCCCCATTTTTCTGTTGTATTTTCAGTAGACGTGCTTAAACACACAAGCATACACCCGAATCGGCAAAAGGGGATAGTTTCGCAAATTGGCTTTTTTTCTTTCGTTTCCCCCGGCAAACTCGGCCGACCATTCGCAACGGAGATGGAACCCCGAGTTAAGCGGCCGTGCTTTGATATTTCCCAAGGGCTTTCTAAATGCACAACACCTTCGCTCAGGTCTTCCCTAACTCATGATGCTACGCATTGAAAGGCGTCCAAGCACGCCAAAGCGTCTTTGAGGGTCGCTTCTACCACGGGTGCCTACAGGTGTAAGCGCAGTGTCGCTCCCGGTCCCCGACGAAGTCCGCTCCGATAAAGGGCGCCCTTCGCGAGCCCGCTTATCGAGTGCCGCGATAGCGCGCTTCCCTCCGCGACGTCGTCCAGGAACCGCAGCTGCGAGCGGCGTCTCAGTGCGCGGGCGGCCAGCTGTGCGCCGAGGGTTCCCTCCACGACGCCTGCTTCCAGGGTGTTTCCCGAACTCGGCGCGGACGACCGACACATCCCACAACTGCGGAGCGTCTGGGGCTAGACTCGGGTGAGCACGTCTCGAGCAGTCCTTCGAGTCGCTACAAAACTTGCTTCAGATTGACCGAACCGTTACTAAACCTCTCCTTCACCGGTGTTTCAACGAACGGCGCGTTTCATCGTGTGACCACGTAGGGGATTCCAATGTCGGGAGATGTTTTAGAAGCAAGGTGTTTCGACGGTATGGTACACCTGTCGCCTACCTCGTATATTTTAGCTTGAGCATTGTTCGCGTTCTTTGTATGGGGTTTAGGGGGCACGCATGCTTCATTGAAAATACCGATCTCATCAGCAGCCAGTTTCGTTGCGTCACCGCTGCCGGCATGTAGCGTGGGAACTGTAGTCTTTCTGCACGCGTCACCACCCTGCTCTGGGTCAGAGCACGAGAAGACACGAGCTGTCTCGCGCGCTGGTGCATGCATCCCGATGAACTGCAGTTATGGCGACGTCACGCACGCGTGGAACGGTTAGTGAGGTCGGTCTATTAACTTGCTTCCATGTAACCCGAGTTCCTATTTTGGTACATAGTCTCAACATTTATCTTAATATATTTTTTTATTCGAGCCCTCGAACGAATGAATGGCATTCTTTGGGCCACACTAAATGCCAGGTCACAAATGGCTACCCCCAAATACATTATAATAAAGCTATCTTTAAGAGGTTACGAATATTGTGTGTGATTTATTTTAATAAACGGTTGTTGTATATATATATATATATATATATATATATATATATATATATATATATATATATATATATATATATGTATATTTATATATATATATATGTATATATATATATATATATATATATATATATATATATATATATATATATATATATATATATATATATATATAACACTGCGTAGAAAAAAAACCTTGGTAAAAACAGCCCAACGAACGATTTATTCTTTGACGTTTCGGCCGGAGTCCGGCCTTCGTTAGGAAGCTTCCTGACGAAGGCCGGACTCCGGCCGGAACGTCGAAGAATAAATCGTCCGTTGTTGCTGTTTTCACCAAGGGTTTTTTTTTTCTTCTCAGTTATATACCCACGTTTTCGGCCTCCCGCCACCATGCACGTTATATATATGTATATTGACATCACAACTGCGTGACTCGAAATAGAAAGACAAACTTAACAACGCTCAAAAGTCATATACAGCAAAAATGCAACATACAGTCAGCTTCTTCTGCACAAAAAGAAAAGAAAAGAAAACATAATATATATACATACAAAATTACATCACAATCGTGCGGAGAAGTAATCACATGGGACGCTCATATTCGTTACCAAAAAACAAAAATTGTCCTTAGACATTTTATTTGTTTTGTTTATGCAAGAGGATATGTGTGGGTATTGAGATAGGTACGCAACTCTTTGAATGAAATATCTTGCAGTGCGATATCTTCCTTATTTAATCTAGTTAGTAAACTATGCAGTTTATTTTGCAGCGCCTCTTGCCCGTACGCTGTTTTATACATCACTACCTTCCATGGCTCACTATGGCGCGTTGTGTAGGCTGTAACGTTACCTTGTAAGGTAGCTGGATTATTTAAAAGTGTTAACTGAACTTCGATCTCTTGCCTAACTGTTTTGCAAAGCCCGTAGTTTTAAATGTTTGTGACTTGTAATACGTTATATTTCATAAACAATTCAGAAGTATGAAAGTTAAAAAACGCATTTTCTACGATTCACAGGACCCTTTACTGTAGAACATTAATTTTATGTTGGTTTTTCTCGTGTGGATGCACATACTAAGTGACATTAGCTCGGTTGGGCTGAAAAAAAAACGGTTATCGATTAGAATCATGTGACGATTGGATAGACAAGCCTGACTATTTGGGAAAATTTAACGGTTAGGGAATCAATGTGTGCGTCCCACGACAAATCTTCTTGAAAAACAGCACCTAGTTTGTGAAAGCTAAAGATACAAGAAAAATAGGAGTAGAATTTAACAATATTGGCAGATTTCCTAGTTTATTATTGTTTTTTCTCTGAAAGAGGACTGCTTTGGTTTTTTGTTTAAGTTCTTTTGGCGTGTCCACTCATTTAATCCTTGTAAGATTTTTTTTCTCTATCGACTAAATCATCGGTTGCCTTTCGTGTGAAAAATATGCTGGTATCGTCGGCAGAAATAACGAATGTTGCATCTGGGCCAACGGACGTAATGTCGTTCATATAGATATAACAAAGGGCTCAGAATGCTGCCTCGTGGCGCAACATGAATGAAAGAAAGTCGATATGAGAAATTATTATCCACGAGGACTGTTTGGATTCGATGGCCTATATACGATGTGATCAAAGATACGGCTTTTTCACGGAAATAATAGCGGTAAACCTTCTAAACCAGTACTAGGGGATTGACATGATCAAATGTCTTCGTGAAATCGACGAACAGGCCAAGAACCGGCCTACCATCTCCAAGTGCAGCCAGGATTAATTCCTTCTACACGAACAATGCAGACTCTAGGCCTAACCCTTTACGAAAACCAAATTGAGAATCGTTATGGAGGTTACGTTTTTGTTCAAAGTCACTCAAGCGGTTTAAAATGATTCTATCTGGTACTTTAAAAAATTGGAAGTATTGATACGGAACGGTAGTTGTTCATGTCATTTTTATCAACTTTTATGTATCACAGTTCAACGGGCCACCTGCATTTTACAAGGAAAGATATCCTATGACAAAGATTAAATATATGCATCAAGCAAGGCGCAAGAAATTAAGCAACATATTTAATAGGTCACATCTGAATTCCTTCAACGTCTTTAGCAGTACTGTTACTTAAATGTATAATTGTGGTAATAACTTCATATTTGTTTACAGGGTTCAGAAAATTGGAACTAGGATATAGCGGGATTTTAGTCAGGTCACTGCGCACTGTAGTGGTATTGGCAACATTGAAGAAATGTTTATTGAAAGCATTTGCAAGTTTGCTTCCTGAGAATTTAGCATTATTTATGTTTAGCTTAGTAACTTTGTCAGGGGAGACATGTCTTAAGAGGGCATTTAACCTTTTCGACATAGTATCAGAAAGAATCTGCTAAGTAACCTCGTCTCACCTTTTTGAATTTTTTGTCTAATTGGTTACGGCCAGTTCTAAACTCGCGTGATATTTCTGTATCTTTACTTTTAATAAAATGATTGCAGAGATTGCTCTTTTTTATACTCGCACGGAGCTGGGATGTGACCAATGGTTTGCGTATTTTTCTGTTTGTTTTAACGCGTACATAGGGAAACCTATCTGCATATATCGGTTTCAGAATTTCAAAAAATTCATCATAAACATTGCTCGTGTCATCGTTGTAAAATACATTTTTCCAAGTTGTTTGTACAATTTTATGTCAAAATATTAACAAGTTACTTTATGTGATCTTTCGTAATAATTCTTACGTGCCCCTTCGAGCAAAAGAAAAAAAAAAAGAAATATATATAGCAATAAAAATTTCTATTGCTTTTTTTATTATGAGTAAGGTGCGCATACATAATACTGAAAATGCAGATGGACCAGTAGCCAGCTGTCTAGTTTCGGTCCATTAAAATAAGGCATTTGAGGCGTATTGTCAGCAACACAGGTTATTACGGAACTATTGACGGAAATACTTCAAGACGCAAATATACATGACATATGAACCTAGGAGCTCAACTAATTTTACTTCTCCAAGAGGATGTTTATGAGAGTGAAGATGATTTAAAAAAGCAGTTTTGTGTTTTAGTGCTTGGCTAAGATTATGTTAACATAATTTTAGCCAAGCACTAAATGGCACAGAAGTTATCTTTCCCTTTATGTTATGACATGGTGGCATATTATATGGCCCAGATGAATTCCCTCTAGTTAGACGGTCACCTTTTAAAGTATTGTCATTTAAAGGGAATTGTTATACTTTACTATTCTAGGAAACATGGTAGCGATTTTGTGTTTAATTATTTCCTGAGATCTAAAAATGCAAGTTTTAATAAATAAAACAAGCGGTTCTAATGTGTGATATGAGCGGGATAGAAATCGTACTGGCCGTTTTTTAAATCAGTAATTTGCACGAGGTATTATAAATCGTGTCCCAAGCGTTTGTACAGTATGTGAGATGATTTTAAGATATTGAAAACTAAATTATTTTTAGAGTATTGTGGTCGAAACTCTGCGAGTCTTTAGCAACGTGTAACGTGCGTATGATAATTTCTTACAGGAGTAAGCTATATGTTGTTACCAGTAGAAGTGCTTGTCGCATATCACTCCTACGTATTTGATTGCTGCCACTGTTTGTACCTCAGCTGGTTGGTGGTTCTTGCTTTTCAAATACCGGTTGAACTTAGGAAGCTATATATACCTCCGTGTATCTTTCTATGTTCTCCTGATATGTTCAGAAGAAATTTGAATGTATTTAGTTGTTTCAGTACAAATATTAACATAAAGTTTTGAGTTGTAATAGTTAATGTTTTTTTATTCTAATGAAACGTGTATTCCGTGTCTTCATATAGTGTTAATTTGTTATAATCGCACCCCAGGTAGCACGCCAGGGGAATGCCCAACTTGGGCAAAGGTCTGGCAAACATAAGGACCCAACTTTGGCGCAGTTAGGTTTTTGGACCATGGCACTCATCAGTGCCAAAGTACGGTGCCTAACTATAGCCTTAGTTGGGCGATCCTAGGGCATGCCAAAGTTTGGCTCTTCTCTGGTACGCCAGAGGAGTGCCAAAGTTGGCGCCATACTTGAGCCATAACTGCCATAGTAAATCCTAATCTGGGAATTCGGGGTATGCCAAGGTTTGGCGTTTCTTTGGTGCGCCAGCAGAGCGCCAAAGTTGGTGCCATACTTCAGCCATAACTGCCAGAGCAACGCCCAATTTGGGTATTTCGGACACGCCAATGTTTGGCGTTTCTCTGGTACGCCACAGAAGTGCCGAAGCGTACCATACTTGAGCCATAACTACCAAAGCAACGCCTAATTTTGGTATTTCGGCCACGCCGAGTTTGGCATTTCTCTGGTCCGCCACAGGAGTGCCAAAGT